TCGAATTCGCGAGATAAAAGCTTCATGTTCGCATATCTTTTTATCTAAACAGTGTTTAAAGCTTTCATAGTATTTCTTACAGAAACATTTTGACCGACTAGTGTGATGCAAACATTACAAAACACACTCCTTGGGGAAATAAGACAAATAGAATGTATTACTTGTATAATGGCGGGCGAGGAGTCCGGTGAGATTTCTATCACGGCGACGTGTACTTCAAACCGAAAGTCTGAGCTATTCAGAAACATTTCGAGAAAACGTCTCAATGATAAAATTGCATGCGTCTGATCTAACAAGTGAAAACGAAAAGAGGCGGTATATTCCCTTTAAGACACACCAATTTTATCCCACAAATACCGACTGTGCCAACTTTTCTATAAGTACTTTTGTAGACAGCCCTAGCGCCACCTCATAACAATGGGAGCAGCACAGGTACACGGCAGTCGAGGTAAAACACGGACTTACCACTTCAGCTCACGGGTAAAGATTTGCAGAGAGTGAGGGCATGATAGTCTGCAGTTTACACTTGTCTACAGACGAAGATGAGCCATGGGCTCGTAAAAGGTGTTGAAAGAAACAAAGCATGTCACAGCGACGCGTTATTACGTACCTCACTGGACATACTTGCTTTGTTTAACGTACGTTGTGTGCATGCATACCAAAAGTGAGGAAGTGCGTGAAGTGGCCGCTGTACTCGGAAAATTTCTGTCTCGGAAGTATGTGGACGGAAAACGGATGGCCCACAGGCATCAAGCAAAAGTTCACCTCTTGGCTCGGCAAGACCGGCATAAACTGATGTCATAAGTTCCTTTTGATAGAGTCCGCCTGTAATTCCGATGCACATGTTTCTGGCATGCTGCCAATTATCCTCGAGATGCAAACAAACACACCATGAGGGAGTAAGTTAGAAACAAATGGAGGTGGGCCCATTTCAGTGCCCGGCGTGTTGGCACAAGCGGCATGCTACTGACCCTGTTCGGGGCCAGCTCGTGCGCATGCCGAGGTCGCCCTGTTGGTCGGGCGCCGGGCCAAGCGGCCGCAGTTCCCTGCCGAGGCCACCTGAATGCGCCACACCACTGTTCATAACCCCCGTCAGCGAGCTCCTGCGGGGCTAGGACGTCGCTGACATCAGCATCACCATCAACTTCCCAAGAACGGGAGCACGTTCTGACGAATGCTACATGAGTCGACATGTCGTTGAGGCGGGAGTGGTTGCTCTACCTGTATCGCGGCGTGCGGTCGTCGCTGCCCCAGTGAACAGTCTCTGTCTCATGTTTCGGATGTCCATGCAGCACGGATCACGGCGGCAGTGCCGGCTGTCGCGGGACATTGGGCACCAGACGGAGCCACGCGCCCGGAGCCTAAGCCGCTGCGCCGCCGCACCAGTGGCGTGCTCTTCGTCGGGATGTGAGCAGCTGAAGGTGGTGGCCGCTCCTCCGCTCCTCGCCTGGGAGCTCATGTGCAGTGTGCTGACGGGGCGCCTCCGTATCGACCATGACGTCTCCGCTGATCGCGATCAAACTGCACACCCATAGCGGCGCGGGGAGGAGACGCACGGGAGCCTCGCCCGGGCGCTCGGTCAGGGGAGGAGACGTACCGGAGCCTCGCCCGGGCGCTCGGTCAGGCGATGGGACGCACCGGAGCCTCGCCCGGGCGCTCGGTCAGGCGAGGGGACGCACCGGAGCCTCGCCCGGGCGCTCGGTCAGGTGAGGGGACGCACCGGAGCCTCGTCCCGGCGCTCGGTCAGGCGAGGGGACGCACCGGAGCCTCGCCCGGGCGCTCGGTCAGGTGAGGGGACGCACCGGAGCCTCGCCCGGGCGCTCGGTCAGGTGAGGGGACGCACCGGAGCCTCGTCCCGGCGCTCGGTCAGGTGAGGGGACGCACCGGAGCCTCGCCCGGGCGCTCGGTCAGGTGAGGGGACGCACGGGAGCCTCGTCCCGGCGCTCGGTCAGGTGAGGGGACTCACCGGAGCCTCGCCCGGGCGCTCGGTCAGGCGAGGGGACGCACCGGAGCCTCGCCCGGGCGCTCGGTCAGGCGAGGAGACGCACCGGAGCCTCGTCCCGGCGCTCGGTCAGGTGAGGGGACGCACCGGAGCCTCGTTCCGTCGCTCGGTCAGGTGAGGGGACGCACGGGAGCCTCGTCCCGACGCTCGGTCAGATGAGGGGACGCACCGGAGCCTCGTTCCGTCGCTCGGTCAGGTGAGGGGACGCACCGGAGCCTCGTTCCGGCGCTCGGTCAGGTGAAGTACTAAGTACTTCATCGCTCGCGCTGACAGGCTCGATATGCATTTTATGGCATGTGCATTGAGAGTGGTTTTGCCGCAGATGTGATTCGAACACTTGATGAAAATTATTTGTCCGTCAATAATTAATTATTGTTTTTATGCACTTTTCTGCGTCATGGGTACGTTATAAGCATTAAGTGTGGTTATATATATATAATATATATATATATATATATATATATATATATATATAGATCTATCTATCTATCTATCTATCTATATATATATATAATATATATTATATATATATATATATAGTATATATTATTATATATCTCTATATCTATCTATCTATCTATCTATCTATCTATCTATCACTATCTATCTATCTATCTATCTATCTACTATCTATCTATATATATATATATATATATATATATATATATATATATATATATATATATAATTGACTAGCCGCAACCATCTCCGCTCACCAATGATACCCATGGTTTTTAAATCATTCAGAAGGGTCCTTAGATAAGGCTAGTTTCAGATTTGAGGTGCGAGGAGGGGGACAAAGTGCGCCGCTGCCCGCTTCCCCACCTCCCCGTTCTGTGGCGACACCGATGTTTACTTATTGGTGTCAAGAGCTGCCTTGTAATTAAAATATTCGGTCATTATATATATATATATATATATATATATATATATATATATAGTTTATAGGTACATATAAACACACACACACACATATATATATATATATATATATATATATATATATATATATATATAATGACCGAATATTTTAATTACAAGGCAGCTCTTGACACCAATAACTAAACATAGGTGTCGCCACAGGACGGGGAGGTGGGGAAGCGGGCAGTGGCGTAGTTTGTCCCCCTCCTCGCACCTCAAATCTGAAACCAGCCTTATCTAAGGACCCTTCTGAATGATTTAAAAACCATGGGTATCATTGGTGAGCGGAGATGGTTGCGGCTCAGGAAGCCTTTAAGCCCCCTCCCACTCCCATCCTACGCTTTTGCCTCCCAGCCCGAAATCCTTGCAACACCATTGCCAATAAATCCCAAGCAAAGGAAATGCCCAACACTATTAATCTTGCATTTGGTCTTGTTGCTTTTGACCGGAGCACTGTCAAATGAAAATGTAGGGGTGATTTCCACGAGCCGCCTTTAGCGGAGTCCGTGCAGAGGTTAAAAGTTTACAGAACTATTGTAGCGTAGAGAGAACAGTTCTGGTAAATAAAAACCTCAACTGCGTTAGGAGAGCATGCATAAACTTCCGAGTGCTGAGCTCAAAACTGGGTTCAACGGCGGCCCCAATCCCTGTGAGGGTCGTGTCCAGGCGAGACGAATAACAGCTGTACGTCAGGCTACAATGCCAGACAAATCGGCGACACTGGCATTTACTGATAACCGACCGTATTGCTCCAGGTTTTATCAATACTGCATTGGCATGGCTGGGTTTGATGGGAGCTCCGCCAGTTAACATGCTTTCGAGCTCGGGTGGCTCATTTTCAAAGACCAATGTTATGTCGTGCGGCCTTGTACGAGATGCTACCCAAAATTTCCAGTTATTTGAACACTGCAGGAAAATAACTGACCCTAGCTGCTAGTCGCCATCGTTGCCCCTGAACTTGTCCCTCTAGGCATGTGCATTGGGGTCTAACGTTTTTTCCGCAATTTCATGCATTCCTGGGAGTCTTGAAGTGTAACTGTATTGAGCACCTACCACTCTTTCTCTTTCAGGGCACCTTCAGTCATGTTAAAAGGCGTCCATTCATTTGAAATTTAATCTTAAGGAACAAGAAAAAGACTCAAAGGTCATGGTGAGACGCATGGAATGGCTGAAGAATCTCGCTTTTGGAAGTCGGGAACCGTCCAACAACAAATGATATAAGAGCGTGTGAGTTGGCAACGAGAGATCTCTCATTGTTCTTCACCTTCCCGGACGTTTTTGGTGGATATCCTCCTCCAGCCGCTTCAGAACTTTATATCAAAGCCGTCGAAAGATAGAGGAAAGAGGAACTTACCAGGGGAAGCTTTACCAGGGGAAAGCTTTCCCAGGGGAGGTGATTATTGGCGGACAAAGTCTTGGTGTCGAAGAAACGATGAACTTGAACTGGACATTGGTCTTGACACGACTCTTCTGGTCTCGGTGAATTGAGACATGTTCACTGCGACCTCCAAGGTTTTGGCTCAGGGTTATAACAAAACGGCAATGTTTAATCCCTGATTATGACCTTGGTGATGACGTTGGGGTTATTCCAGGTTCAGTCTTGAACTTCACGACGTGACCCAAACGCACAGTAACGGCCGGGAGAACAGACCATTGTATTGACAAATGCGTGGGTCGACGTGCACAACCAGGCATGTGTGCTCGAGCGCAAGCCATGGATCCACCTGTTTGGAAAAGTTTTTGAGGACTGGTGTCAGACCTCGACTACCAGAGCAACGACCAGACCCCCTCCTCTGCCTCCCGAGTGGAGCAATGTCCTCTCCACTTCGTGTGAGTAGAGCCACTGTAGGTAAAATGGCTGATAGTGTTATCATAGAGCGTCAGAGAGCTTACGAACTCATGTCACATGACGCTATCATTGTGAAGCCCCAACAGAGGGACAGAGCGCTCGGGCGACGGTACTTCTGTAGCCAGTTGGGCACACACCTGCCCAGGTCGCGCCCGCGCGCATCCAGACAGGTGTGCGCCTGGTGCGTGCTCCTACCAACAGTTGCCCGGCCACACACGTCGGGTGAAGATGGGACTGCACGCCGCCGCCGTCTGCTCCCTGCTGCTCTGTGGCCTCGCCTCCGTCCGGGCCGTGCTCGCTCCCTCCTTCCGGATAGTGCAGACGAATGACTCCTTCCAGCTGTTTCTGCAGGAGGACCTGCTGGTGAGTGCAGCTCTAGGACAAATTGCCGAATGACATTTTCTCGAATGCGATTTCACTGAACGTGAAACCATTACGTAAGCTGTTCAGGGCAGCTGTACCATCTGGGGGCTTCTGGAGCATTACTCTTCCTTGTAGAATAAGTAGGATAAAAAGGAAGTGTACTGATATTTTCAACTTCAAGCTTTTGTTAAAACATCGATGAGCAGGAAATCTCACAGAGCAATTACACAATCCATGAAATCTACGGCCCACTGAAGCTTCGACAAAGGCTTGTAGCCGAAGTTTCAAGACATTTTTTCTGCAATCTCCAAGTCTTTCAACGAGGAATAACGAGTGTAGATTTGCCAAAAAGAGTGGGGGGGGGGGGGCAGATTGGTGGATGTCGTGGCAAGGGAACAGGCACAAAAATTCTTGGATTTTGTTCCTTGTACGGTGAGAATCCGTTATATATCCATATGTATTCATATATATGTATATATATATATATATATATATATATATATATATATATATATATATATATATATATATATATATATACATGGAGCATACTCAGATAGTGAGCAAAAGTTAACACTTTATGGCAAGGACAGCAGTCACTATCATTTATGTAGCTGTCAACATTTCGATATATTGTGTATCATCATCAAAACGAGTACAATAGCATAAGTTCAATCAAGTTGCCAAGAAATATTGGAACATTTAACCGTAATCGCTAGACATGACAACTGCTTCAGTTGACGTAAGTCAACACGACCTCTCTGCGCATAAGCAAGACAGCTTGAAAACAATCATAGAAATCACGCCTGTCAATGAACCCAATGGGTATAGCAATATAGGACACGTTACATTTTTCGGAGAAAGGCTTCAGGGTCATTTTGTTATAGCGTGGGGTGCCTGCCGACTGTCGTGCTGGCGGCCCAGGAGCGAGACCCTCTGGTCGATACGTAGGCCCTCAGAGGCCTGCATCATACACCGGTCGCTTCCTGACACCGGCGGCTCTCTGAATCGGCCATTCAGCCCCAGGTAGGGCCCTAATTGATGAAAAAATTCCCTTATCGCCGCAGGTATCCAATAGCCGGCAGTGAGATTACAGTTGTGCATGACGTCCGCTGGCTGAAACGGTATGGAGAGCCCTCCGTCCGGTACCGAAGCCCTGACAAAGTTGTATTGTGGATATCGCATTGTCGCCTTGTGGACTCTCCTCGTAAGCTCTCATATCCACTTGCATTGTCAGAGGGCCCCGACCAACGCAAGAGTACCCTGAAACTCGCAGTCCCGTCTTTGTTCCTGTCCAGCAACTGTATCCCTGGCCGAGCCGAAAGCCCTAGCCAGCACTGGACCCTCCGTCAGGCACTGTGAGCCCCTGACCGACAAAGAAGCATGCGTTGCTTCAGAGGCCCCGCCCAATGCAAATCACTTGTCCGATCATGCCCCGGCTTAGGAAATGGTCCCCCAGGGCTTGGACCGAAACGGAACCGACTGTTCGGTGTTGGTGGTCTATGACCGAAAAAGAGACTTGCATTGTTCCAGGGTGTCCTCAATCGATGCGAGAGACCTCTGGATGATATTTGGCGACCCAGTCCCACCGGCCGGGGTCCTTAATGTGACCTACAGCCAGCCCTACAGCGTGTCCTCCAGCCGGGCACTTGATCGTCGGTTCCGAGGGGTCCTTCGGCTCCTCTGAGGGTCCCAAGAGCATTTTCCCAAGCGGACTACGGGTCCCTTGTCAGGACAGAACCATTATTTAACACCGTGGTTCCCTGATCGACACAGGATCTCTTCGTTGGCTTAGTGGCCCGGCCAATGTGCCCGGCCTTGTCCCTGCTTGAGAAATGGGCACCAAGTCCCAAACCTAAAACTGGAACAATCTGGTGACAAATTTTTCGCGTATCACGATCATTAACACACGCCCGGGTGGCCGGTTGGATGCCCTTCGCTCGGTTGGGGATCAATGCGATCCCTACTGAGCTCTCAGGAACTAAGAGCGTTAGAGACACCAAATTCACAGGGTGTGTTGACTTGTACGTGAACTCACTCAGGTCACAGTTTGAGGCTCCTAGTTCATGATCTTTGGGTCAAATAATGTCAAACAAGGTTAAATTCCAGGTTGGTCTCCAAAGGATCCCTAGAACCTAGATAACTGTTCTAAACAAAAGGTCACACGCTCGTCTAAGGTTAGGGACCTTGTTTGACCTTTTGAATGTCATGGTGACCAAAATCATGCAAGACCGCTTTGAGTTTTGCATCTGGATAAGTGACAAAGATTACGCTAGATAGTATGTTCCTAAAAACAAAATGTCGATCTGGGTCATTCCAGGTCAGTGACCTATTCTGACCTTTCAGAAGTTAATGTGGCTGCTGTTATCAATAGATTCTAAATGAGCACCGGGAACTACCCCATACAGCAAGCGCTAGAAAGATAAAGCAAATAGTTTTTTTTACCTTGGTCTGACCTGCATACCTGACCTTAGTTCAATGTAATTTGTTTATTCAATCGCGGTGTTGCCTAAAAAAGTATCTCAGAGATGTATGGCTTCGTCTAACACTCCGTTATTGGATCCGATTAAACGATTCCCTAGAATTGTCTTCGCTGAAACCATGACCTGATTTTGACGTGCCATAGATGAGCGACCTTACATGGCACATCTAAATTTGTGATACCAGACGATCTGCTATTTAATTGTCTACAGTTAAACAAAATTTGGCGGATCTACGTCGCGCCGTTCGGAAACCATTCCGGCAAAAACCTTCGGGGGATAATTTGACCCCCACTCGAGCGCGTGTTAAGCATCCACCACAGCAGTGTAGCTTTGCGAAATGGGATTTGGGGGGGGGGAGGGGAAGGTGGGGAGAGCCTGACGCCAAATACACTGCAAAACAGGTTATATTCCGGATTTCAGCCACTCTCGTCTCTACGCCATGGAGTTCGAATCCCTCCCCCAACCAAATCGGAGATTACGGCCCTGGTCTAATACGTTTCGTCGCTGGCTTTCTCGGCGAAAGATGCTGTCGTTGGACGTCGCTATAATTTTGTTTGACGTTGGTCGTCGAAACCAAGTATCGGTAACCGACGCAGGGTCGATGTTGAGTTGCTTCATACGTTGCTGGACGTGCATGGCTCTGGGAGCAAAGAGTGTAGGCTAATGTGCGCGACCATTAAAATCTGCCACATAAATGTCGGCTGGTTGTCTTAAGGCGGGGTGCAGGCCGCAGCGCGGCCATCGCGTGAGATATGTTCGACACGGCTAATGTTGCTTTGGTGGTTAATGTCGGGCGATTACCAGTATCAATTTGGTCGGGTGCTGTCGACCATCAATATTTTTGTAACTGTTTCACTGAATATGTAAGTCGAAGTGAAGGCCAGCACATTTGAAGCGTTCTTTCGAATGTAGATGGCTAGTGACTTGGTCACGTATTTGCAGGCACATATTAGACCAGTTTGTTTTCACTTTCTGATAACATCTCGGGGCAGGATAACACAGCTTGCTGTAGTCTGTAAAACTTGAAACATCGCTGCATCATGCCCAAACACTCAGATAACAGCGCAAGGCTAGGCCAGAACCAACAAGATGTTTGAATTGTTAATCTAAAAACATGCAGCATGTAGACCAAATCAATTAAATGCGATACGAGTGCGAAGCTTTCAAGGTGTGGTTAGCACCGTCAGCTAGAATTAGCTGGACATCGCATCATGTTTGTCATTTGCCTTGTTCTGACATCATTTCGAATTCCTGTTCGTAATACACTTCTTGGACTGGAGCTTCAGAGGGTTGGGGGGGGGGGGGCAAACTCGCCGTTGGGGGGAGGGGGGGGGCAACTTGGGCGTTGGTAAAGTCCAATTGGACGCTGGAGGGGGAGACTTTGGAGGTTGAGGGGGGGGGGGGGAGGTGTGGAGGCAGTGGCCTGCTCAAATGAATGTCAGTCGACACCAGCGGAGCCATTAGTACATTAGCACATTAGTAATGAATAAATCAATGGTGTATCGGCTAAATAACAAAACAAATAGCCCATACACCAATCGGCTAAAGGGTGAATAACCTATTGACGGCATGTATTTTTGACGGCGTGTAAATAGTTGAACTGCAGATAAGTCGAAATGCTTATCAACCAAAAGCCAATCAGTCGAATTGTCAATCTGCTGAATGATAATACGCCGCCATGAGATGGGCATTGGCATGGACATAGTGAATGACAGTTTATGAATGGAAAGATCGCCGAACGGTCCAGTTGTCGAATGTTTGTTTTTGGAAAAGGAAATTTAACCAGCGGTCTTAAACAACCGTATGTTTGTCGAGTGGTCAACAAGTCAGACTCATATTGTCGAAATGTGGATGGGACGAGTGAAAATGTGACGCGTCTCCTGATGGCAAAGGGTGGCCCATGACTTGCGTTAGGCATCGATAGAATTGTTGTTAGGACGTTATCAATGTTGCTGAGGACATGGAGCAATGCGGTTTGCTTGTTTAGTTGTTGACACATTTGGATGGACTATACTGCATGGGTATGCAAAAGAGCAGCAGACTCTATTCCTTTGACCTGACATGATACATTACAGGTTACATCTGTTGGTGTCCACTAGAGGCCATCCAAAAACATGTTCTCAAGAGCTCAACTTCGTTCTCTGTATTGTCGAATGCTAAGTTCTTGCGGTAACAGGGTGGTGGGCGTGATTTAAGCTGTCAAAGGTCACATCCGTCCTTGTTCGGTCACACTTATTGAATACAGAGACGAGATTTTTCAACGAGACGAGAGACGAGAGATTTTCAATTCTGTCTTTGCTATGACTCTGGCTTGCTTGCTTTTCGAGATCGTAGGGGGCTGCGGAGGTCGCTCCTCGTATTCCGACTCGGTAGAATTTCACCAAATCAGCAGATGGTCCACGGAACACTTTGGGAATCAGCATTCCACTAAAGGGCATTTCGACAAAATGACATTTGACTTAAGAACATTTCTGCAAATTAGCATGAGGTAAGTATGCATTTCGACATCGTCAATGT